AAAAAAATATATATATATACAAATATCTATTTGGAGTGACGCAAATAAAAAGCTGGTTTCAGTAGTCGGCTATATGTATTGGCCCTCTGATAGACTAGGTCAGAAATTGAGTTTGAACTGAGGAGCGGATTGTATACGAATTTACACATAGTCAAAATATATTTATATGTATGTTTATCTAGTTGTACGTATAAAAAAATTATACTTTACAAGAATCAAGAAAAAAAAAAGGAATGTAAATTTTGAAATGGAATTTCATCTAAATGTTAAATGTGGTTAAGTGTTTATGCTAACTGTTTGTTTTTCAATTATTAAAAATGATTTTATTTATTCTTACAGCATTTGTGAAACGCCAAAAAACGAATCAACTAAACGACAAGAGCAATGCATGCAAATTGCGGCACTTCAACACACATACACACACACAACCCACACACACATACGCACACGGTATACCCAGATATTAAGATTTAAAATTGCGCTTAAATATGTATATGCATTTCATGTACACGATTTGCAAGTGTGTGCGTGTGTGGGTGCTTTAGACACGACTTTGTCAATTTTTTTCAAATGTCTGTAATGAAAATGAATTAATTTTAATGGATTGCGTGACGTGAAGAGCACGTGAATTTAGTTAGTTTCCTTTTGTAACTACGTATATTTGTTGAATCTAAATTTGTGAGTTTTATTATAATTTTAAATCGTTTATTTTGTATACGTTTAAGTTATTTAGTTGGGACACAAATGTACCTCAATTGTGCTCATTTTAGTTATACGTTATACATTACGTACGTACGTATTATTAATATCTGTATATGCATGCATATATATCTACACATATGTCTATATATGAATTGCTTTATGTATAAATCCTTTTTCATTGGCTTCCATGCTGCAAATGCAAACAAATTTCATTTATGTACTATATTTGATATGATTTTCGTTAAGGACAAAGTGTGCATTGCATTAAAAATGCGTTAAAAAAAAAAAAATAAAAAAAAAAATAAAAAATAATAAAAATATATAAACTGTTGCTTCTGTCGCCCAAGCCAAGGACACAAAAGCATGAGAAACGATAAACAGATGAAACGTAGACGGGACGATAAGGATGAAAATGATATACGAAATAAATACTATTTTTTTGTGTAAACAATTAAGCTTTTAATGTGAAACTGTAAGAATTTTATAATACTTTCTAAGTAATCCAACTTAATCAATAAATATATACACACTATATATATACAAACAAACGAAAATATATATACATATATAT